AGAGATGAGTTTTATTAGTATTGAGCATAAAACTCAACAAAGTCAACAGGTGTAAACAAAAACCCTCTTATTTTTAAAATATAAAGAGGACTTGTTTTTGTTTTTTAAAGCATCAGAGAATAGTACATGAAGCAATGGGTCAAAACAAAGCTGGCAGCAACCTTATAAAATACCAGGGAAATATAATAGAGTGGTAAAAACCAAGGTAAAATACATTTTAATAAAGGGCAGTGTATTAACTTTAATGAAACCATTAGCAGAGCAATTTTTATTCTTTATAAAGCTTTTCCAGAATTTGTATACCACAATAACAAAGTCACTTAGTGCAAGAACCAAGGTATAATTTTAAACATAGCCTTGGCATTTAATCTTTTCCACAATAGCTACAGAACTTTTGATTTGACAGAGTATGCTCCCAACCCTGCCATGCAGGGCTGGCGGGCTGGGCAGCTTGAGTTTATGGCAGGATCTGGTTTAGTGATTATACAAAGAAAGTAAAATTAAAATTAATATAAAAGGAGGAGTTTGTTGTTGTTGTTGTTTTTTTTTTAAAGATAAGCATTCAACTTATAGAAAGGTATGACACTTTTCTCCTTTTTCATATAAACTACAACTGGAGTTGCAGGAAATTCCATATAAAATGAATAAATAATTCAATACAGAGCAGGTGGCGAAACTTGGCATATGGGGAACAATGTAAAATCAGATGAGAATATGCAAACAGCAATCAGGAGTACATTTTGGAAAAACATACTGTAGAATGCATTAGCATAAAAGGTGTCATATCACATGCCAGAGCTACAAAAACAATGAACCTCTTCATAATTTAAAAAATAACTTTAAGGAAGAGTGTTTCATGCCCCTTGAGTGAGTGCTTCAGTTACTGCCCATATACACAATCCATTTCCAAACCTAATCTGTAACCATTTTTTTCCTATTGCATATTTTAAACCTCACCTTTCAGCTTGGTGCTATATGCTAATACAACCAATATATTAGCACTTTAGAGATATTTGGGAAAAATACTTTTTGATTTTTTTAATCTCTTAGTACAACTACAGTGAAGAGATGAAAGTAAACATTATTTATTCAGCTTGCTTACTTTGCATTTAATTACACTTTTGTATGGCGACTTTTAGTGACTTCCATATGTCATTTGTTTCCTTTGTGTGGGTCTTTCATAACATCTTTTAAAATAGGTGGTTGTAAAATGCTAGCAATTGGTGAGGGACTCAGTACTTTAAGCTACTTCTAATCTCTTTTATTGAACAGTTGATGGGTTTTTTTTAAGTAAACAGTGCCTTTACAAATAAGATGCAAATGTTATCTTGTGTAATTCATGGAAGAGAGACTGTGTGTATTAGTAGTTGTAAACTATAGTTGTTCTTCTGTAAATAGATCATTGAAATGAATCAGAACAGTCTTAATGCTCAGTACAATGTTGCCTTCATATATAAAATAATCAAAATGACCAAATACTCAATATTTAGAGAATCAAATACTTACAGCTAAGTGCAAAGGACTAATTGGTGCTCTGTTGTCTGAATCATTCAGCATATCAGTACCTGATGTTTCCATTAGCTAGTAGAAATACAAATAGAGATTAAATGGAAAAAAATAAGGCCTATAACATATTAAAAAATAAAACAAAACAAAAACAAAACAAAAAACTGTTTGAGACAGGGTATCCCTAACCACTTAGAGATTAAAATGCCCCAAAATCTACATATATGATACGGTAATAAATTTTCTCCATGAATTATATATTAAATTATTATTTCTTTTAAAAGCTTTGAATTTTACATGTATCCCCCCCCAACTATAGGCTGTTTAATTTTCTGAACAGTGAATTTATCACATAAAATAAACTTCTGGAAATACAGTTTTTGTTTTGTTTCATTTTTTAAATTGAAAGTTTACAAACAATGGGAAAGCCCTACATAGGAGTGGAACATAAGGCAAGCAAGATGAGAGAAACTGAAAATGCAAGAGCCAAGTAGTTAGGGTAGATGGGATGGAGGGAAGAAATGAAAAGTCAAATGCATAAATTCCTCCAACAGCAAGGAAGGAAGGGGGAAGAAAAAAAAGGAAGAAAATAGTGAAACAGTGATACAAGGTAATTATGCTGGATTATTCAAAGCTCTTTCACACATTAATCTAAATTAAATACAGGAAACCCTTGCTATTCGCAAACTCCAGATTTGCGGATTCAAATATTCGCGGGGGAGGGCAGAGCCGGGAGGTGGGCGGAGAGCGAGTGCCAGGGACATGGAGGGAGACAGCGGCAGTGGCATCTTCTCTCACAGTGGCAGCCACAGCAACACTTGGGAGGAAGGGGTCAGTCCCCAGGTGCTACGGGGGAGCCCCACAAACAATGGGGGGGAGGGGAGGAGGGGTGGTTGTGGGGCCTGACAGGGAGCCCCATCAGTAGTTGCAGATTTCGCCATTCGTGGGGAGCTCTGGAATGTATTCCCCATGAATGGCAAGGGACTCCTGTACAGGAGAATCCAAAATCTTTGGAAATATGTGGCTATCCTCCACTCCCTCTGGCCCCCCACGTTTTCTTTAAAAAAAGATGCATTTCAAACACTGGATTCCACTATTTGAAGAGAAGTTGTAATTAGCATGATCTTTCTATTAATAAATAAGGTATTATGACTGATTTCAATCCAAACCAGGCTTCTAAAGAGATTTTATGTTTTAATTTTTTTTTCTTAATTGCCAATATAAAACATAGCACTTGAACACAGATACACAATAGCATTCCAAAACAGAATGCCCCTATTTTGATATGTACAACTTTAAGGATAAAAAGAATACACACACTTACAACATCTAAAGGCGTTTCACTTGCAATCTGCAATTAAAAACATTTAAGCAGTTCAACAGACTTAAATAAATTTGAGAAAACATAGGCAATTCTTCAGAAAAGTACTGTAAACATTAAAGAGAAAATCAAAATGTCAAATAGCATACTCAGGCTTTAGAAACACGTGGCTTTTGTAATGCTATAAAAGCCATTACGGCTGCTGACAGACATGGAAAAAATAAAACAAAAAAAGTGCTTTATCAAAAGAAGCAACCCGTTAGGTTCAACCCAGTTCTGCAGCATCTGTATAGTAGAACTGTGCAAAGCTTCACTGGCTGTTTCATTTCAACGTTGTTTTGACTCGTTTCGAGCTCGAAACAGCTAAATTGAAACAAAACAAAAGGGCGTTGAAACAGCCTCAAAGTGAAACGAGGCCAGTTGAATGTTTCAAAGCAGCAGCCAGGTGATGAGAGGTAGGGGAGAACCAGGGCTGCAGTCTGAGCAGCTCCACAGCCCCATGTGGCTCAGCCCGGCAGGGAGCGCAGCCCTGGCTCTTCCCATCTCCCAATGCCAGGCTGTGCTCCGATCGGCTCCGCCAGCCCCACGAAGCTCAGCCCAGTGGCCGAAGGTGGGCAGAGCCAGTGCCTCCTGCCACCCGGATGAGTTCCATGGGCTGTGAGCCACTGAGAACTGAGCCCGCCTAGGGGAAGTGCCTCTAGCCGCCAGGCTCAGTTCCCTGCCACTTGCAGCACTGGGGAACTCAGCTGGGCTGAGGGAAGCACCTCCTCCAGCCAAGCTGAGTTCCCCAGTGCTATGAGGGGCAGGGAACTGAGCCCAGCGGTGGGAGGCGCTTCTCCCAGCCGGGCTCAATCCCAGGCAGCAGAAGCAGGGACCTGTCATCCAGCAGGCAGGTTGGGGGCCTGCCTGCACCTCCGGGAGGGCTGCAGGGGCTCTGCTGGACTCCTCCCAGGGGTGCAGGCTCCCTGATCTGCCTGCTGGATCACAGGACCCTGCTCCTGCTCCCCAGCTCCTGCTTGTCAGCAGCCCAAGGTGCAATTTCCTAGAAACCCCTGCACTGATTTCCTTGAAACTTGGCAGGGTTCATGCCCTCAGAACAGGCTACCAGCCCTGCAAGTTTCATCAGAATCAGGCACGAAATTACAAAGTTATAGGCTGTTTCATGCTTCCCCATTATAGCACATGGGCGAAATGTTGAAATGGCATTGAAACAGCAAAACCATTTTGACAGAACGGAA